TGACTTGTGACTTCTTGAAAACTTATTTAGAAATCCTTTATGTATTCTGACCTTATTTTGCAAATTTGTATGTCTTGTGAGTTTTTGAAAAGATGATATTGTGTAATGGTTGAATATTATTTGTATTGTTCTATATTGTATTCAGAATATTATAATTATTTATATTTTTTTTTAATATAAAAAAAATTAGAGGCAGATTATCCCCCCTCTAATGAATTAGAAAGGTAGTGGCAAAGAAGTCCTCCTCTACTATTAGAGGCAAACAATGTCGCCTCTACTTAAGCGTCGAAAAATTCCGCCTCTGATTTAGAGGCGAACAATTCCGCCTCTAGTTTAGAGGCAAAGTTTGCCGCCTCTAAATTGTAGACAATTAGTGGCGGACTTTTCCGCCTCTAAAATTAGCAGCGGCGTGATTAGCGGCAGAACGCAGTCCGCCTCTAGTTCCACTCTATATCTTGAATAGCGGCGATTTATGTAGAATTAGAGGCGAACTTCTCCCCCTCTGTTCGCAATTATTTTAGTAGTGAATGTTTATTACGCAATTACACACTATTTATCAAACCACATATATAGTCTTAATTAAATATTTATATATATCAAATATACTCCCTCCATCCTGGTTTAATACAACGCGCTAGACGAATAATGATTGACGATAATCAAGCAATTAATTTCTAGAACCAAATATTTCACGATTCGCTTACCGCTTGCCATAAAGCATTGTAGCCAATTCTATTGATGTTTTATTATTGAACCCCAGCTCTAATGGAACAACACCATGTTGAACCCAAAACTTGTCCAAAACATTATTAACATTTTTAGCAGAAATTTCCCAAACAGAAAACAAAATCACAAGCCTTCCTAACATTTTTTTCCCAAACATCTTTGATACTTTCAGAAAGATAAGTTTAGTATCAAAAAATGGTATTGCTATTGGTAGGAATGTGCCTCAAATTAGTGTTTTTTATGCATGCCTCTCTAAACAAAATGATCATAAAGGATGCATAGTTGGAAAAAGAGTTTTTAATGAATCAAGAGCAAATGCATGCGTATGACAATGTTTTGCCTAATAAGTATACAACATAATATAAATAACATTCAATAGATAATTGTTACCTCCTAATATATATATATATATATAAAAGGTACTTTGGCGCCTCGCCTTGGCGCCTTATAAACTATGTTCATATATGTCTTATTTCCATAGTCTCTACTCATAGGTGTCAATGCCAACTTCCAAGTAAGATCAAGAGTTTAAAAATATGTCTTGTTCTTTCCCTGGATGCAGAATAAAAATCTGATTTTCATTCAAATCAACTTTAAAAAAACTCTCAAAAGATAAAGGACAGAATTGACCACATTCCTACAACTACAAATCAAACTTAAAGCACACTTACAGAACCTCTCAAATAATTCATTTAACTATCATAAAGAATACAAACTAAGCTAGCAGAGCAAATACTTAATCCATGCATATTGAAGGTAGGCGCTGTGTCATAACTATTAAGACAGTTTGGGGCAGATTAAACTATCAACTAATGTGTGTGATTGATTTCTAATTACCCTAAATGAAAAATGTGTCACAACCATCACCTTTTGTATTTAGTGCTTGATGTGGAGTTGTTTGTATACCGATACTTTCAAATACTTTTTTGAGTCCATAACTCAAAACATATCACAACGTGCATGCAGTGAAATTTAGAGTTCACTTACCTCCATTGATTAAAATGAATCTGTAAAGTACCTCCATTTTTATTAAGAGTGTATCCATTTCACATGTGGCCATTTAGAAGTGAGACCAGAAGTCATTAGCTTTAGGACAAATCCAGAAGAAATGTTTAACCATTTCTGCATTCTTGCACCAACATCATTTGGAAGCAAGTTTGAATGAGGAATCTATGTTCTGCAAAATAGAAGAAAACTGTTTATGAGACCCTCTACAAAAGAATACTTGAGGTGGAGGAAAGAATGACTTACCTTGATTAAATAAGTGCTAGTGTCTTAAAAGTTTTGTATCCAAGAGAGTGGGCAATGCATAAAGGTGGGGAAGTTTGAACTGAGGATACTTTTTCCTCAACTCTAGAAAATCCAACATTGGGCATGGGCCCATATCCATTTTCTGCAAGAGATCAAATGCCAAAATGTAGCCAAATTGATATAGAAAGGCATAAACTATCCCAAAATGTAAATAAAGGAAAGCTAATACATACAGTGAGTTGGAAGGACAAACAAAAGAAATGTTGATGCAAATGCCTGCAATATAAAGGGAAATGTTAGAAGACAAATGATCACAATTATTTCACACTTTATTGTAGAAAAATAAAATCATTAATGGACTCTCTAAGAGTATTGATGATATGAGTTTTAAGTTCACATGATTCAAATTATTTTAATTTATTTTAAAGCTCAAATGGTTTCATTATAAATGCATAAATAGAGAAGGAAAACACAGTATTAATGTCAAACAATAACAATGGAAAATAATAATTTGCTAGTCAGCGCCCTTGTGTTTTGCCAGCATCTTAATTTGGCTATCAGAAATCAAATGTCGTCCATGAGCAGGGCTATATTTATTTTAAATTGAAAAGGATATTTTATTGAATTATAAAAAAAACTGCACAATAATGATGAAAAGGCACTGAAACATTTCATGAATCAAAACACAAACCTAACAAAAAGAGTTGTTAAAATATATCCGCCTTCTAAAGAGCAATACACAACTACTTAGAGACAATAAAAAATTGGCCAGACTATGTAAAACATATGTGAAAACCCCTCTATATCTCTAGATTATTGTGGGATAGTAAAAAACACATCAAGCTTATATTTTGAATAAAAAATCCCATTTTATTTCAAATATGGATGGTCAAGCAAAAAACAGGCGCAAAGAGTCTGGTCACTTCTTTCACAAATAAATTACCTTTTTTTTTAATAATAATCAACTCAAGCATAGTAAAGATTAAGGTTTCAGACAATGGAAGTGAGATTTGTACAATGCATATAACCCAAGCATAGAAGCAATAATGTCCTTATGGTCTTTGTCTCCCCAAGGTTAAAAAAATGTAGTTATATCTACAACAGCATTATACTACCTCCGTCCCATTGTCTTTGTCCACTTTTGACTTTTGGAACTGTTCATCTAAGCACTTTGACCCATCAAATTCTCTCAATGTGTAAGCCTAAAAATAGTCATGTGTGATCTTGTTTGATTCGTCTTAACATATAGATTATTAATATATAATTTTTATAATTTTTTAATATACAAATTGCAAGATAAAATGGATTAAAGAAGTGCATTGGATGATGTGCCAAAAGGTAAGTGGACAAAGACAGTGGGACGGAGGGAGTATGAGTTAAAAGGATTTCCTTTTGGTTAAAAAAATGAAAAGTAGAAATCGCAACCTGCACAAATCATTTTAACAGAAAATAACCCCTGTAATACATTCTCCATTGAAAGCTATTGGACCATAGACATTCTTATTATTGAGCTTTGTAAACTACCTCTTCATCAACACCGGTAAATGCATATAAAGCCGGATATTTTGCCCCCTTTAAAGCTGCCACGGTTCCTTTAGAAGAACCAATTATTCCTCTCGTAAAGGTGAAATCACAATTCTTAAGTAGATGAAGTGTAGTCTTTTCTTGTGTTATTTAACTATAATTTAACACAATATGAATCAAGAGTAAAACATGAAAATGTTTTTTTAGCACAAATGAAACGAAAAGATAATCACACAACTTAGCTATAAGAAAGACACAAAAGATGATACTATAGCTGCAATAATTTGAAAAAAAATATTTTTGAAATTCATCTTTTCACTAATAATAAAAATACACTCAAATTTTAACCATGTTTGTTAAAAAAACGGGTAGGATCTTTTGGCTTTAGGATAATTGAAGCGTGCCAATGTCATATTAATGTCAACGATTCTATTGTCAAAAGAACCATCGTGTTAAAAATACTATGTTTTATCAGCAGTTCAGCACTACGCATTTTCAGCAAATAGTCTAAAACAGAATATATAGAAGATCTTAGCCTGTGAGTAAATCTGATATGTGTAACTCGTTCTTTATTGACTCATTAGGAGCTTCACTAAGCTTATGTAAGAATTATCTTCTGGGAGTGACACCACTTGTAATAGTCACTGAAATACAAACTGCTTCAGTACTATATTTTACCTTCATGTCGCATATGATCAACAGTGTTTGAGACCTCAGGCTGCTATGCCATCTATTTTTTGAAAAGCCTATGAACAAACTCTACATTAATACAAATGTCTTTATCACCACAAAAAATCAACTGGTGAATAATGGAACAATGCAAAAACTAACAAAATCTAACCTTCACTGACCTATTGTTAATAAAGTACAGTTGATTATGCGTAGAGAAGACCTTTTTCTTGTCCAAGACTGCACATTTCACACCTTAAAGCAAAAAATGCAATTAACATGATAAATAAACTGAACTCCCAAACACCAAAACCCAATAAAATGTTTAAACAACGAAAGCAATGAAAATTATACTGTGAGGTTATAGAGAACATGAAACTATAGATTGATTGAACTTAATGAGTATTTAAATGGCTCGATTCTAGCCATGGGCATGCTGTTTGCATGTTTGCAACTTTCAACTACGAAAGTCCAACTTAGAAGGTAATGCACAATTAACTTCATTAGCTCGGAAAGAATGCGTAGATGAAATCATGGATAAAGAGTTTATTACGCTACCTAAACCAAGCATTCGTGTCTTTTGCACCGTCAATTGATTAAAGTTTGATCTATTGATGGTTGAGGTCAGACACTATCCTCCTTTAATTTGAATGAGAAGAACCCTCGTAAGATATAATCTATTCATAAGTAATAACCTGCACGTATTGAACATAGAATTAAAAATGATATAATTTCTTTTAAACATACAAATATTTACGGCTAATAAAGGAAATTTAGTACCCTAGGTCACCTAAAAAACAAATAGAGCTACATAAAAATGTAGAAATTGAAACACAAATCATTAATAACCAAGCAAGTGCAACTAAAATAAAGAATCAACCAAAGTTTTCATAAGATTTTGATAAATACGGAAATACCCGAAGGGGACTAAGTTCTTATGGGAGTTATAAGAAAAGAGCCTTTGATTATGTAAGATGTCGAACATCACAATCTCAGCTATATGTACTGTATGCCTTCTGCTTGCTAACTGAATGACCGGATATGCCAATGACAACCTGCTAAGCGGACAAAGATGCCAATGGCAAAGAAGAAACCCTGTTAGGCGAAGAAACACCCATGACAATAAAAAAAATTGGTAGAAAATAAATCATGCAGCCATTATAGAATAACCACTAAAACGAACTCAATTCACCAACCTTTACTCTCTACATACCAATTGCTGGCTCCTAGCCCCTATGGCTCCCGCTGTGGCTTTTAGGTTGCTAATCATATACTGCAAACATGAAAGCCATAAAAACAGACAATTGGTAAAGACATTACACATAATTATTGCATAATCTACAGATCAGATTGTCAATCATATAATAATGAAGGTCTTTATCAAGTTGATCCATCTTTATCAATCTAAATACCAACCTTATCAAAGCACTGAAAAGCCCCAATTCCAGGGAACCTCCATGTCCCATTTTGCTCAGGATAGGAAGGAAAACGAAGCTCTCCGGCTGGACCCATGCCCACTTGAATCTCCTAGATTGCCAAAAAACAAAAAGAAAGAAAATCATCAGTGCTGAAGCATAATTCAAGATCCCACTGTCTGGGCTTAAAGAAAGACATAATATTGCAGAAACTCACCACAATGGTGTCACCTAGCATGTCTTCAAACCTGTCTCTAAAAGCCCTCATGAAGTCAGAGTAACACTGAACAGGAGTTCTTCCTTTAAGGACTGGAAGGGTATCATGACCAAGTGATACATACTCATAATTCCTCCTTCCCCATTGATCTGTGTATGCAAGGTCTGGATCCTTGTCCATCTCCTCCCTCACCCACCTTGGAAGAGGAATCCTGATATCGAAAAATAGGGGAGAAACCGCCGAAACTTGGATTGAGTTACAGCAGCAACTTCCATGTGGGTCAATCTGAAGAGGTGGAGGCGACGACATGCCTATGTCCAATAGGATAGCATCGTCGTTCTCTCTAAACGGAAAAGGAGATTCCGAATCATTGGGCAGCGGTAGTAGTTGCCCCCTCTTGCTAGTGTCAACAACTGCATCCAATTGTCGTTGCCGATTCAGGTAGCTATGGTAGCGGAGAAGGGTGTCCGATTGATTCCCTGAAGTTGAAGAAGAAAAGCCAATCCCTCAAGATGTTACACATGACATAGTAGTAAATTAAAATACACGTATGCTCCTACTTATGCTCCTACGTGGAATGACAGGTGTCAACACAACAGCTAAAAACCCTACTTTATATATATATATACTAGCATTTCTCCACGCGATGCGTGGTTTATAGTGCCCGATATTATGTTTTAATAAATTAGTATTATGATTTTCCTGGTAAAAGAAATATTGGTTGAGTATTGGAGAGAGGATAGTGTAACAAATATACGGAGTAAAAAAGAGAAAAGGTGTTTAAATTTAAAATAATGCAAAGCATACATAGTACTGATGAGTGGTAATTGCAAGTTGAAAAGAAATTAGTACTTGTGCATATTATGTGTACACGGGATATAGTGAACACAACTCAAAATTATTGAAATGTTTGTTTAGAGTCAGTGTTTAGAATTGAGAGTTTGTTTTTTTGTTGCCAAGAAATTGGTCTGAAAAGTACTGATAAATAATATAACACCCCCACTACTATTATTGTTAAAGAATAATGGTGGAGAGTTTGAAGTGAGAAGTTATTAATGTTAAGCACGTATTTGGATTGAAAGAAGTTTTATTCAGAAGATTAATGGATTCACTTAATAGTTCCTCAAAAATGATGTTAGAAATTGTCGTAGGATGGGTTGTACGTGTGGTTTTTTTAAAATTTTTTATTTAGTGATGGTGGTGGGAAGAAATAACATGCATTTAAATTTTTCGAAAATAGTTGTAATTTAATCAAACAGTATGAGTTTGATTTTTGGTTTCAAAATGGATATAAGCCTTGGATATGAGTGTACTCAAGTGTAGTTAAGTGTACCTTTGTTTCACGTACTCCTACGGGTACATAAGTGTACAGGTTGTAATTCAACCAGAGTGAATTTGATGTTTTTGGTATAAGAAATAGTGGATAGATGATGAAAGGAAATGGAGAAGTGAAACAAATATAAAAGAGAGAAATGGAAGAAAATTTAAAAGTGAGTCCATAGATATTAATGATGAGTGAAAATCCCATTGTAATATTGAATTTCAACTTGTGCATGTTAGTGTACATAAGAAAAAATTATCAAGAGTTAAAAAAAATTTCATTGTACATTTTGTTGCTCTTTCTTTATAAGAAATTGCACTTTACGCGGCCTTCAGGTTCTTATATTACTACATCAGCAACATTGGAAATCTAGTTTGGCCATTAGTAAAGAATTGGTGTTTGACTCCGAACATCATGTTTTTATTTTCTTGCATCATCAACATTGCAATAATCAATTCACAACATGACATTTGGAGATGTGCCTAATGCTAGAAAAGCTGAAGTATAAATTATGCAATAGGATTGAATTCCAGTTTTTGTAGTTGGGTTTAGAGTTTTTAACTTTTGAAAGTAAAGGTTTGTCAAAATACACAAAGACCTTAAAGGTTAAGGATCGCTTAGAATGGGACATGTAATTGACCACCCCACTGCACCTAGACTTTGAAAATATGTGGGTTGGTATATGTAAATTGAACACGCTTAAGTTATTATTTGTGAATGGTATTATTTAAAAATCATAAATGTGATAAAAAGAGATTATTTTATTAGAGGTTTACTCTTTTTTTGTGGATGGGAAAAAGTTTAGAAATGATAATGTTTCATTGGGATGGACTAATTATTTCTAAATAGATACGGGTGAACCACTATTAGTGTTTGGAATTGTTTAAAATACATATTGTTGAAAGATTTAAAAATAGTAAAAGGGATTTAGACGTAAGCAACACACCAACCAATTAACTTACCTACCTTTCCTTTTTTCATGGTGGGAATTCTTTGATGTACCTGGAATTGTTCATTTTCCAACATCTTGTCCATTAGTAACTTGAAAAGCAAATTGGCGCATTTGGGAGGTAGTGATGAACTTGAACTACTCTTCCTTTATTTAGTAGTCCACTTTAACTAAAGGTCTCATTTTTTGAAGGGAGAGAAATACCGCTATGAGTTCAACATTGTCGAATGGAGTGCCACTGCGAAGCTTATAATTTGGACCACCAGGCCTAAAAGAATCAGCAACAGTGCATTGACCTATTCGAAATGCCACAATATGTAAATATGTATTAAAAGAATGTATATATGACTTTAAGTCACTTCGAGATTCAAGACCAACAATTCTTAGTGGTGTTTGACATGGGAAATATAGGTGGTTTAGTGGTTTGTGATTCTTGTGTGGGCTTAAGCATCTATTTGTATATGTAACAAATAGTAACGTTATGATTAGATTGCAGCAGATCATAGGAACCAATCTTTTGTTAGGGGCATATCCATCAAAAAGAGGAAACCCAATAGTTGTACATGGTGGAAGAAGGCGTGAAAGTAATCAAGACACACCTCTTCATTGAAGACACCACCAAGAGCGGAGAAACCAGGTATGTTTGTTCAGGTAGAAACCCATCTCATGCTATGTTTGTTCAGGTAGTAAATTTTTTTGTTAAAGTGTCTGTGTTATGAATTGAAGTATAGGTTTTAACCACAAAGGACATGAAGTATGCTTGGAGAATGGTGATACATAGTATACATACTCAACTATGATTTTAAAGGGTGAAATGATATACGGTCTTATACAAATTATAGCATGCAGACCAAATTCCAAAATATATTTATAAAGTGTAATGCAGACCTAAAGCGGCATAACCACACAGGATAAGGAAAAAGCAATTATAAAGTGGTAAACCAGGTAGAGCATGCAGACAAAAAAACCAGTCCCAGACAGCATGACCAAATCCCAGATAGTAATCCCTAATTCCCTGACCCAAAAATGCATCCATACTCACACCTAAAAATTCCAAACCCAACCTGTAGTCTAACCCAAAACCAACCCGAAAAACCAATTTGAAAAACCATTGCCATACACAAAAGTGAAATCCCATTGATGGATCCGTAAAAGCAGGCTACATTTTGTACTAAATGCATTGAGGAAATAAAGTTTCACAGAATTGATGGATGGGATCTGTTAGACAAAGATATTTGTTTACTATAGTGTGTAAATTAAATTGTGCTTTAATAATCTTCTTTCTTATAGTGTAATATATGAAATTATAGTGAATGATGATTAGTAATTATATGTAAGATTCATTCAAAACACATATGCCACGGAATATGAAGTTTTGTATTATGAGTATTTAAAAAAAGCATTAGAAGTAGTCTATTAAATATTTTTAAAATGCATTTAAAGAGATGTACTAAATGTTTAATGATTGATAAACGCATAAAACACACCAGCAATCAAATAAAATGCCAAAACCAATCCGAAAATGATGTGCGATCCTTAAGGCTAGAAACAAAATTCCAAATTTCCAACCCAAGAATTAGATGTTATGCTATGTTTGTTCATGTACATTAATTTTGTGTTGAATTGTCTATGTTATCATTTAAACTATAATTTATAACTACAAATGACATGAACTACCCTTGGAGAGTGGTGATACGTAGCATACATAGTGATTTATAGCAAGATGGCCAAATTCCAAAAAAACCAATTATAAAAACCAGCTCAAATAGGATAACAATACACATGCACTCCCAAGCACCTTAACCAAACATCATTACAAAGAACTAATTATAAAGGGTAAAACTAATTATAGTATGCAGGTGGCAAAACCAGTCCCAAAGACCATAACATAATCCCATATAGTAAATTCCAATTCCCTGACCCAAAACTTACCCAAATTTCCATCCGCATTGATTTTATAGTCCCTACCAAATCTGTGTTTTTTAGACATCTGCGTCATTTTTTTTTCTGTAATCATGTAAAGTACAGTTTTAACCACAAATAACATGAATTATGCTTGGAGAATGGTGACACTTAGCATACATATTGAAGTATGAGCGTAATAGGTGAAATGATATGAGGTCTAGAACGAATTATAGCATGCAGACGAGATTCCAAAATCAAATTATAAAGTGTAATGCCGACCCAAAAACCAGCCGCAAACAACATAACCCAGAACATGTAGTCCCAAGCAGCATAACCAAGCAGCATAAGGAAAAAACCAATTATAAACTGTAAAACTAATTTTAGCATGTAGACCCAAAAACGAAGTCCAAACAGCATAACCAAATCCCAGAGTGTAAACCCCAATTCCCTGAGCCAAATACTAACCCAAAATCTCACTCAAATACTCAAAACCCAATCTAGAGTCTACTCTAAAACCAACCCCGAAAAGCAAATAGAATAAGCAGTCCCATACAGAAACCTGAAAACCCATTGATGGAGTAGAAAAAGTAGTGTGCATTTTGTACTAAATTGGTTTTTGAAATAAAGTCTTGCATCATTGATGTATGTGTTTGGTTAGACAAAGATATTCCTTTACTACAGTGTGTGAGATAATGTGTGCTTTAATAACCTTCTTTCTTATGTATCTTAAGTAAAACGATGTAAACATTCTAAATAAGAAAATTTTGAAACCATTAGTAATACAACTTATTTTTTTGTGTTAGTTGTGGTAGTCTAATATATGAAATTATAGTGAATGATGATTAGTAATTATATATTACATTCATTCAAAACACATAAGGCAGTAAATATGAACCTTTGTATTATGACAATTTTAAAACACCATAAAAAGTAGTCTACTAAATCTTTTTAAAAATCAATATAAATTAATCTACTAAATCTTTAACAAATGATGAACATATAAAACACACCACCAATCCAACAAAGCTCCCAAACCCCAATAAATATTGATTTAAAGGAGGGAGTCATGATGAATAGTTAAGGAGTTAAACTGAAAGAAGGGTGTACCTGATATTACTTGTGGCGTGTCACAAAGTTCCTATCAAGAGCAGCCCACAAACCTCCTATGAAGAGCAGTGGAAAATTGGATTAGTGACTATCAGTAATGTACTGCCAAGCCCTTCATTTAGAATTTGACTTCATATGAAGGGTATAAGATGTGATGTTGAATTCAGAGAACTAAATAGACACAAAACGGAGAGAAGTAAATACACATAACATTGGACATGTAAATTATGGGTTTTTGGTTTAAGTATTATTGTCTAAAGGTTGTGTGTTATGTAAATTACCAATGAAAAAGTCATGGGTGTATGGTTTTATAGGCAGGTGTTAGGTTGTTTAAATGTAATAATACACAGCATTAAATACGTTTGCAAGATTTTAAATTCAGGAAATATAAACCTCACATTTAAGTAGAGTAAATGTGGGTAATATAGGTGTAATGTTGCAATGATGGCAAGGATTTATTTTAAATAAAAATATGTAGAAATGTGGATTTTTATTTTTTTTTGAATTTGAGTTTAGAAAAAAATAAAGAATGGGAAAGAAATTTAAATTTTAAATTTTAGATTTAAAATTTAAAATTCAACAATGAATGTGAAACTTGATAGTGATAATAATTTTAAAATTTAGATTTGAATTTGAAATCAAATGTAATAATTCTAACCTCATTGGAACAGTGAAGACTCTTCTCCAATGCAAGGTTTCCCCTTTCGAGTTTCTGACCAAACATCTGTCCATACCACCTTCTTTGCACTCCACCTTGGCCGGAGTAAATTAGCACCTCCCCATCATCCCCTTCATCATCATACCCTCCAGATGATACTATGCTTACAGAAATGGGGTCATCAACTTCAATCCCAAGCACATTACCGACCCTCTTTGTCTGATTCGTCCAAATCCCTTTTGTCATCAGCATTCTGGAAATGGATCACTCATCTCTTGAATTTGGGACATTTTTCTTCGTAACAAATCATAAGCCAACAATATGCGCCCAACAAGGTCCTTGTCACCGTCGGTTTTTTTGGATGATTCTACCTCGGTGAGTTTAAACAATTCAAGAAAACTTTGTAAAATTGATTCGTAATCCACCTCAACCGGAGGTTTCCCTTGATGGCCATGCATCTGTCTTTTTCCACGGTCATCCCTTTCTCTTCTTAGTGCTGGAGTGTTCAACGCTGTTATCATGAATGCCATAGCCATACTGATCACTTTGGTCACTATACTCATCATCTTCTGCAACAATTCCACTGGACCTCCTTGGTCTCCCAGAATCTCCATTTGACATTGGAGTACTGAACGAGTTTAATGGAACAGGGGGTATAGCCTGAGAGTATCCTGATGGAGGCTGTTCAGTTCGTCTGCTTGAAATATTGGGAGCCAGAAATGGGTAAAAGGGGAACTCTGGGATGGAAAGGACCAACTGGAGGAACACATGTGAAGGGTGACAGTTGGGGAGTGGCTGCAGATAACATCCCGTTTGCTGATGGAAAGACTGGATTTAAGCTCCTCATGGGCTTTTTATTTTTTTTGACTTATCAATCGAATCATCTTGGGGAACTGAGTTTGAAGGTGTACCTATTTCCATTACGACAATCTTAGCAACCAGAATGTAAAGTAACAAAATTGGCTCAAAACAGCCCACCGCAGCGCAAAGTTTCACCTTTTTTGGACTCTTAATCTCTGCACAGACCAAATTATAGGAAGAGAAAATCTGCCAGCACGATAAAGAATCAAATAGTTCCTGTAAATACATCCATAATAAATCCATACAAGTTTTGCCACATACAGAGATAAGCACACATAAACTGAAAACAAAACAGTCACCTGGTAGCATCTTATGAATTACCATGTGTAATTTGGAAAGAGATCAGACATTAATTTTTATGTCATGGTAGAATTAAAAGCTAGAAATTAGTCACTTTCACATGGCAGATCCCAGGTAAATAGTGTTTAAATCATAATTTTCAGTTATGATGCTTTGGACAAAAGAAGAGAGATGCAGATCAGTATCTTATATATTTGGTTGCAGGAGTAAAGACACCTTTGAGTAAGAAGGAACAACAAAACGTTGACCAATGACAACCTGAAAGGCATAAAGTTGTTTGCTACACCATTAAATTTGAGAAAGATTGACGTCCACAAAGTTCAAATGTGGCATAATGTGATGGGTGGAAGACTAACTGGAAGGACAATATAGCACCAGGTTTCTAAAATGCACCAGACCTCAATACTACACCATCACATACTAATGCGTGCTTCACTTGACACTCATCTTCTACTGTGACATTTTGCCATATGTAGCAACCTTCTATTGAAACATTTGATCCAATCTTACAACCCTCTCCAACAACTAAACTTGAAATAACACCGTTGTTTCTAATAGTAGTGCCCTTCCTAATAAGGATAAAAGGGCGAATTTGTGCAGAACGTGACTGTACAATATCTGAAAAAATACGATGAGATCTATCAATGTAAAACGCTCAGCGTACACGTATTGCATTTTAAACTTAAAATGCAAAATGAAATTACTCGGCTCAGTGTTCATACAAACTATCTCAAAACGTCATTAAAGCTTTAAATCGAGGTAGAGGGGAAGAGAACTTATAATGCCATGAGTAGGCACAGAAATTGAGACGGTGCAAGGAATTGAAGGTATATAGATTGCCAATGCAATACTAACAGAAGTACTAATCAAATATATTTTCAGAACTTCTATTTTATCCGATATTCATACCTGATGCGGGATACATTCCACGCCTTTCAAGTTTAGAAGCAGAATTTCCAAAGAAAGGGACATCAGGCACCAATGGATAGGTCCATCTCTGAATAATATCTTTGCTGATTGTGTCATAGCTTCAGTAATTCTCAATCCTTGCCGCATAACTTGAATGAATTTCGTAAGTGTAAATCTTGTAACCCATAATCTGTAAGTTAAAGGATAAACTAAAACAATCAGATACAGTGAGAGATTAAAGACACTTAAGTGCATAAATATGACATTCGAAAAATAAAAATTTTAAAAATAGCTTCTGCTTTATTTGTCACATCACGACAGAAACAATCAATAAACAGATCAGATCGGAAAATGAACTATCAATAAAGAGATGAGATACATATAAGTGCTCTAATTCATTTGGTTTTATAATTTTACACCATTAAATTGTTGTAAGAATATCATTCCTAATAAATAAGTAAACTTATTAAGCGCATATCAGCCCATCCCTACACAAGAATAAAGAAACATGACACCATGTGAATTGGGATATATAAACAAAGTTTAAAAAAGGATTACAAGACACCTCGACTCAAACACAGAAATAGAGACAAAAGAAACAGAATATCATAAACAAAGGCAAGGAGGCATGAAGCACATATACCTACACTAACAATTTGTTTTTTTCTTTATCCAAACCAGATTGTCTGTGGCTAAATAGTTCAGAAATATCTTGGTAACAATAAGAAGAAAAAAAACAGATGTAGTTTGCTAGACATCCCAGAAGAAGGAATTCTTGTTTAGAGTTAAATAAGAAAACACTGAAGGCTCTGTGAAGCACATTCTTAGATTGAATTTTCTCCATAAGATGACCAGCATATTGTTCACAATGGTTTTACACATTAAGTTTCAAACATATGAGGCCTGAAGTTAGGTGTTATTCTCTTCAGCTTTTATTTAATATATTAATCCTGCAATGCCACTATTTTTGGGACATGAGTGAGTATAAAAAAACTAAGAAAACATTATGTGGTTAATCGAGAAAAAATGAAGATGAAGCACCCATATATGACCAAATATGCATGTAGGAAAAAATTTTGGATGCACAAAAAAGTTATTATTACCTTTGACATGTGTTGTACACACAAAGGAAGTAATGAATTTCTTCCATGTTTAACAGCATAAACATAAGCTGACACTGAATACGCATCTGAATTTGATCATTCTTTACTACATGTATTCTATTACTGCTTTAATACAAGAAAGAGAGAAGAAGAGATGAACAAGTGAAGAAAGTGAGGATTTTGAGAAGGGAAGAAAAGAGAGGGAAAATGGGATTTTATGAAGGGAAGAAGAGATAATCAACAGGGTAAAAAATCTCCTGACTTTAAAAGCGGGAGTCATTTTCTATATAATAGACCAGATTTTCCTTTTGACAGAAATCATTTTCCTCCATTCAAAAGGACCCTTATAGATAATGTAATCTAGGCATGTCAATTTATAAAGTCAAGGTACAAACTATACCAATTGTAAGAGTGTTTGTTACTTTCAAGAGGAGTAATTGGAGCACATGCATTTCTTTACTAACAAATAATCCTAAATAATCAAACTACTGAGCAGTTTATGTCAACAGCAGCCAATAGTTGCCTCAAGTATGAAATACATAGGATTAAAAATAAAAGTTGTGCATATAATTTTAGTTGTTACACTGTGAAAATAATGCATATAATTTAAATTACCTGAAGAATGATTCTCCAAGCTGTTGCAGGTTTGGCCGTACCTGTAGGTGAAAAATAATCCTTCTTGACTTGCAATAATAGAAACAAAGAACAAAAATAAGAACAAGCCAAATAACTCATAAGATTATACATAGGAGGAATCTTGGAGAGGGTGCCTCGTCCCATCTCCCAAAATTGAATATAAATAGCTCCTTTGGAATTTTCTGAAAAATGAACGTCCTTGCTGAAATAATTGGGCGGGGGTTATTAAGGGAAGGGACCATAGATAGAAGAAGAGGAATCAGGAAAAACGTTTCATTCATACCTGCAAATCTGCATACTTGCTAGAATTAGTTTGTTATTACAATTTTGTTTGCTGACTTCCTGATGCATCGCCAGGAATTCCGTAAATCCAATGTTGATTCTGCTGGCAATTCCAATCGCACAACGATTCTAATCGATTGCTGAGGGACAGGCGGCAATTACACCTACTTCATCGGGGAGACGAGGTGCTGGGCAAGAGGAAGAGAATTGACGCGGATGATAGTCACCCTAATACAGAGGAAGAATTAACGCCGTAAGGGTAGTTTGCGATTGGAAAAGCTGCGTACAACATTAGAACGTATGGGTACATGTGTTTTTGACGGAAAAACTACAAATTAATTTGAGGGTACACATTTATAAGATATGTAAGATGTAAGATGTAATATATATATATATATATATATATATATATATATATATATACATACATACATATACATATACATATACATATACATATACATATACATACATACATACATATATATATATATATATATATATGATGATATATGATGATATATGAAAGGATTATGTGATATGGCTAATGTTTCTGGTAAAGCTAGAGAATTTTTTAGGATTATCCAACGTTTTGCAAATTTTACTAAATGGTGGCATATTTTAATGTAAAAGACTTAACTCTTAATAACTATCATCCACTCATTGGGAGAGTCATATTGATAATTTTAAAGCTATAAGGTTTCAAATATTAGATATATGTGAAGCTTACTTCAAGTTCATGAAAGTGATAAAGACTCAAAAAGAAAAAGTGAAGCAAAATCTTTAGCAGAAAAAGACATTGGTGATTTTGAATTTATAATGCCATTAGTAATTTGGTGTGATATATTATATGATGTGAATGTAGTTAGCAAACAACTACAATCAAGAGACATGCTTATTGATGTTGCTATTGAAAAAATAAAGGGATTGATATCTGATCTCTTTTAAAGAGTACAGACACTATGCCAAAAACAGTATCAGACGACTGTTGATTAACTATTGTTTATGGAAACACAGTAGTTATAAAAAAACAGACTACTGTGAGTTTTTCTTGGCTACAGAACAGTAGTCTAGCTAGTATGCTTTAAAACTATTTTTAAAGTTTCAAGAAACGGTAATCTATCACTAGTTATCTGTGTCACTTCAAAATACAGTTTTTGTTGCAACAGTTGTCAATAACAAGTTAAGAATACTCTATTTAAACAGCAGTATGATGTTTTAGTCTAGAACTGTTTTTAAACTTATTAGAACAGTTATCTATTGCTAGTTGTATGTTTCATATGATTTTTTTTGCCACCATTGTTTCTAATGGGAATAAAAGACTCTTTTATAACAATAGTCTATGAATTAAGGATAGAACTGTTTTTAAAGTTGTGAGAAACGGTAATCTTTTATTAGTAATCCGTTTCACTAAAAATACAGTTTTTGTTTCCACAATTGTCAATAATTAGTTAAGACTACTATTTCTAAACAGTAGTCTGGTTTTTCATTTTATAACTGTTTTTAAACTTACCAGAAATAGTATCATATTGTTAGTTGTATGTTTCATATGGTTTTGTTTTTCATAGTTGTTTATTATAAGAATAGAAGACTCCTTTGTAACAGTAATATATTTATATAGCGTAGAACTATTTTTAAAATTCATAGAAACCGTAATCTATACAAGTTGTTAATAATAAATTGAGAATATTCTTTTTAAACAGTAGTTAGACTATTAATCCTAAAACTATTTTCAAAGTCTTGACTTTTGAGAAACCGTAATGTATTACTAGTAGTATGTGTAACACCTTTCTTTTCACGGTTATATATAATAAGTAAAGAAAACTATTTTTAAGAAAATTGTGCGTATTAAGCCTAGAACTATTTTAAAAATTAAGAATATTCGTTTTAAATAGTAGTCTAGCACTACAAGAAAAATGCTCTTTAATGTGAGTAGAAGTATATTTTATTAGAACAAAGAACAATGAAATACATGAGGGGAGGACCAAACCAAAGCCCCTCCAGAAAATGAGATCCAAACACTAAAACTAGGAACATCCAAAAGACATGGATTCAACCAACAAAGCCAAGACATTTTATAATAAGTAGTCTTCTTTATTCCACCTAACATATACCAAACTCTAAAACAACCCCTAACTACTGGCAGTGGAATAATAGCTATAAGCAAGCACTAAAGACTGTTAACACAACCCCTGATAGTGCAAGAACAACCATCTCCTATTATAGTCATCTAAGAACAAACCTTTAGAACTCAAAGAAATCAGCATAAAGAAACTAACTTCCGTGTGTGCTACTGCCTTAGACCAATTGAACTCCATAGCAGTGATTCCAAAGCCTAACAGCCAAAGACAATTCTGCAATCCTATAGGTCTTCCAAATTTTCAGATGATTTTTTTTCTTTTAGCTATTAATAGTGAAGTAGCACCAAACTCTATCAGCACCCTTTCACAAATTTAAAATGCAGCAACTCTAATCCTTTACCTGCAGCAAGCCATTAGGCAAAGCCAAACACTATATCTAAATAACAAAAGCCACAAGCTTACACTCAATCAGCAAAAACCCAACTTAGAAACCAAAGTCTAAGTTGCAAATCCAAAGGCAACATTCAATCATTTTCCAAATATACAAACTTATAAATATAACCAGTCTAAGTGAAAGACCAATTGACAGACCTAACCGCAGCTACTCCAAAATAAAAAATACAGCAAAGCCACTGAAGACCAATGGTAAATCTGAGGGTAATACTCCATCTCAGAAAGCGGAGACCAAAGCCACTGAAGAAGCAAAGTTAAAATTAAAGCAAAAAAACATAGTACGCAAGGAGCTAGAATAATATTCATGATCTACTAGCATATGCCCATAAAGCAAGCAATCAAATTAAATCGATTCAACTTTTGGATGCCTCTGTTTCCTTTAATCATAAAGAACCTGCTAGCATTCCAAACTCCAAAAAACTAAGGGCCAAAAGATTGCTAATTGAAATAAAAAGAAAAAACCTTATAAAACTTGCACCTTAACTACAGGGTGCAATTGTGCAAAGAAAACCACTATAGGGAAGTAATCTCTCACCCACCAACCTTTTCCAATGCATTACCCTGCAAACATGGAGCCAAATGTGAACCTAGTGTCATAGATTAGTTTAAAATTTAAAAATGAAATTTTAACGAAAGACTTGCAAGTACACTCTTGTCCATCACAGGCTGCTCCAATGCAAATACATGCAAATGAATGACAGTTAAACATGAGATCTAGAATAAAGATAGTATATTTTTTAATAGAGTTAATGAAACAAAATACTTAAATTACCTTAAAGGCTGCGATACTGTCAATCAATATATAACACCTTACGACTAAGAACTAACTTGTCTACATCTAGAGTACAAGCAACTTCATCTAAAGTTTCTCTATCTGAATACAACAAACAATCCCATAGGTAAGATCGAATTCGTAGTGGTCATTCGAAATAGGTTCATCAACAAAACCAGACCCAGAAGCATCAAGAGCCACCTCCATATCCACATCGATAAAGACTCTGTACAATCAGAAACCATTATACAAACTTCCCTTATGTCAAAAGATATGGTTTTTAGTAAAGGAGCATTTATAAGTTATAACAAAAGGCTCACAAAGGGGACTTGATACTAAGAGTGTCCACTTTATATACACACCCATATATATATAGTCAGTTACAAAATACTCTCAAAGGGAATTTGGGAAGACTAACTATGACCATACGTTAAAACTGTAATTTACAAACTGAGAAGTGTGAAAATACTCTTAGTCTTTTTATAAGCTTCAAGGTTTGGTTAGTCTTTGGCAATGGAACTTGGAATTTTGAAGTGCCGAAAAAATATTAAAACAGATTGAGGAGAACAACAAATAAAAGTCACAAAAAAAAGTTCATAGAAAGATTTAGGTGTGGGGAATCAACATGGAGCTCTCAAATTAAAATTTCCAAAATTTGTTTTTCAAACCTACTGTAAACCTAGTAGGTGTGAACAAAAAAACTAGTAAAAAATAATTTTGATTCTTTCATATTTTTAGATAAAAATATTTATTTAAAAATCTGATCTAAAAGTATATTAATAAAAAGAAAATCAAAAATCAAATTGAGGTAACAAAAATTAAGCAAATAAATCCTCATAATTGAAGAATTAGAATATTTTCATTCATTTAATTGAAGAATTTAGAGTATTTTCAAGAGATATGCAAAGAAATTCACATAATTTAACCATTAGAGTATTTTCAAGATAAAGTAAAACATGTAAATTGGAGGGAGTAGAGATTGGGATACTCTATGGGGATCGAAAGACCACTGTCTGGTGTCGAGGTATCTCGATGGCGACGAAGAAGATAGGAGCGACGAGGATCGACGGCTCTGGCTCCAGGCATGAAGGTACTGAAGTGGCGAACTTTTTTCTACCTTAATCGACAAGAGATAGGGTTTTTCAGAGGAGGGAAAAGAGAAATTAGAAAGATGGAGAATGAAATTTACAGAACGGAAAATGAATTTAGGAAGAGGGAAAATGAAATTTAAGGGAGGGAAAATGAATTTAGATAGAGAGAAATTAAAATTGTAAAGATTTGGAGGTAAACTTTAATAATATTAACTAAATTCATCTCTCATGCATTTAAAGATTATATGTGGCATATAAGAAACAACCTTGACTAGTAAATTGATTTTTTTGAAAACTAGATTTGATCTTATTGAATTTTAATTTGATTTAATCCGATTAGATTTGTTTTGGTCTGATTCGATCTAATTAGATACGATATGATTCATTTAAAGTTTATATCACAAAAATAAGAAACAACCAACAATTAAATTTGATCTAATCTTAGTATATTGAATTTGATTTGATCTGATCTGATCCATTTTGATTTGATTCAGTCTAATTAGATCCGATATAATGCATTTAAGGATTAGATCAGGCAAATATGACACGACCTATACAATTAAATTGTTTTTTTAATATTTGATCTGATCTTACTATATCTGAATTTGATTTGATTTGATCTGTTTTGGTCTAATTCGATCCGATTTGGTCTAACAGATCTATATAATAAAGTTGTTTTTTAAGATTTGATCTGATCTTAATAGATTTGAACTTGATTTGATCTGATTAGATCTATTTTGGTCTGATTCAATCTAATTAGATCCGATATGATTTTTTTAAATATTTGATCCGATCTTACTAGATTTGAATTTGATTTGATATTTTTGAAGATTTGATCTGATCTTATTGGATTTGACTTTAATTTATTCCGATTAGATCTGTTTTTGTCCTATTTGATTTAATTAGTCCGATTAGTTATAATTAAAACTCTTTTAATTTGATCCAGTCTAATCTGATATGATGAGATCTGATTTTATTAGATATCATCTAAACAACATATAAACATGTTAAATTGAGATGTAGTAGCTCACATGAAATATGCAAGCAATAAGATCTGATTGAATTTGATTTGATCTTAAAGCATCTTATTTGATTAGATCTAATCTGCTAGATCTAATTCTAGTTATATTAGATCTAATCTTGACTGATCTAATTTTTTTAAAAATTAATTAATGTTAAATGTTTTGAGTAATTTGTTTGAAATGAAATCTAATAATTTAACCTAAAATCGAGTCAGGGGGTCAAGGGGGCGACGCTGTAACGCCCTAGAAATCGGTCTAGAAGTTAATCGATAACTAAATAAATAAGAAGTATTTTTTTATGATAATCTATTCCTTAAAGATTAAAAGATATTTCAGAGAATTCTAATCGTCTCAATATTACGAGACTAATCCGACTCTATTTGTAAAGGTTTAAATTAAAGGAATGATCGGTACTAATTAAACAAAAGAATTAATACGGACTAAGAGGAACCGGTAAATACTTGTCGAATGATAATAAAAGTTACTTGGTCTGTCCCTGAGTGTTTGTCCACTTTTGACTTTTGGAACTGTTCATCTAAGCACTTTGACTCATCAAATTCTCTCAATGTGTAAGCCTAAAAATAGTCATGTGTGATCTTGTTTGATTCGTCTTGACATATAGATTATTAATATATAATTTTTATAATTTTTTAATATAGATAAAATAGATTAAAGAAGTGCATTGGATGGTGTGCAAAAATAAAAGTGGACAAACACTCAGGGACGGGGGAGTATATCGTTGGATAGTGATCGACGAATCTAATCTAATGGTGCGAATAGATCTCAATTCGGAGCAAATTGACCCGAAAATGTGTTTTTACTAAGAGACATGATACTCTTTCTTCGATAGAGACGCCACCAACCCCTTTTCTCTTTCGCCGCTCTTCAATCCGGAACCAGAGACACACCCGCGCCGGCCAACGAGACACCCACGGCAAGTTGACTTGGTCCACGGTGACCAAGCTCCAGCGATTTGCTGTTTTTGGAGCTTGATTTTGAAGATTCGAAGCTCAACACATGGCAGATTTTGTTCATTTGCGATCCTCTCTGGTTAGTTCGTGTTGGTCCAAGCAATTTTGAAGGCTACATCTCTGAATTTCAGAGTGTTTTGAGCTCCCTTTCAAGGTATGAACGTAAATTCCTTATCCAATTGATTTTTCAATCGATTTGAGGATCTCTTGTGATTACGTATTCACTGTTCATCTCGGGACATTGGAAATCTTTTTGTATGTCTTCATGCTTGTTTTTTGATTAATTTTATGGAGTTTCGTTTGGTCTGTTGAAGAGTTGTTTGTGTTGACCTTGAAATGGCGTTGGATAAAATCCACCATTGGTCCTTCAACTTTATCAGTTGTGCACGATTGGTCCTTCAAGTTTCAAAAGTCCATAAATAGTCCTTCAACTTTATGAGTTCTGCACCATTGGTCCTTCAAGTTTCAAAAGTCCATAAGTAGTCCTTCACGTCAGCCCTCCATATGAAGTCCTTTTGATAGTAAATATTAAAAGTTAAACGAAATACTAGTTTCATATAATACGAGTAAATTCCACTAGGTACGACAACTCCGTATTATATGGAGCTAGTATTCAATTTAGCTTTTAACATTTACTGTCAAAAGGACCTCATCTGGAGGACTGACGTGTATTTGAAGAACTATTTATGCACTTTTAAAACTTGAAGGACCAATCGTGCATAACTCATAAAGTTGAAGGACTATTTATGGACTTTTGAAACTTGAAGGACCAATCGTGCACAATTGATAAAGTTGAAGGACCAATGGTGGAGTTTAGCCAAATGGCGTTTGAACAAACTTTGTTTGCTTCTCTGATTTCTTGGATGAATGGTACTATGGTTGTTCTTGCTCTGAACCTTGTGTGCTTCTGGGTGTGTACCATTGGACATGTATGGGTCTGGTTTTTGCTGTGACATTGGTGTTTACTGCTGCTGTACACTGACTTTGTCCCAATGGCTTGCTAGCTACCAAAAAATTGCTGCTGGGTACCCCTAATTTTGTACTAAGAACTCGCAGGTCCCATTGTTTTTCAAAATATACTCCGGGGTACAAGATATTCGAAAACTGACTCCGGGGTGACAATCCGTCATTCTCTCCGTTAATATTCCTTCTCCGTTATCCTCCTCTTCTTCTTCTTCTTCTTTTCTTCTTTTCATCATCTTCTTCTTCTTTTCTTCTTTTCTTCTTTTCTTCTTCTTCTTCTTCTTCTTTTTCTTCTTTTCTTCGTTTCTTCTTCTTCTTTTCTTCTTCTTCTTCTTCTTCTTCTTCTTCTTCTTCTTCTTTTCTTCTTTTCTTCTTCTTTCTCCTGCCTTCGAGTGTGACCTCCATTCCTCCCCCCACCCCCGTTTTTTTTCTTTTACCTTTTGTTTTGTTTTTTTCTTATTCTTCTATTATAATTATTATTATTTTTTATTAATTATTATAATTAATTCATAATTATTATTTTCTTATTCTATTATTATTATTATTATTAATTTTTTAATTTATTATTATTACTATTATTATTAAAAATTAATTGTTAGTTTTACCACTCTTTTCTATAAAAACACTAATTGTTATTTAGAAAAATAGCACTTATTATAAAATAACACTTATTATTAATACTATTATTTATTTTAAGCAATTAATTAGTAATTTTACTTCTGTACTTTTTTATAAAAATACCACTAGTTATTATTATTACTTCATATTAATTACTCCTCTGTTCTAGAGTATTTGTCTACTTTTGTTTTTTTCGGTCAAAATTGATAAAATTTAATTCTAAATTAAGAAAATAATATTAAATATTTATACAAAAATAGTTTTATTAGATTTAATATATAAAATATTTTCAAAATATTACTTTATTTAATTAATATACAATATATGTTTTATTTAATTATAGGTCAAAAATTAAAAACAGTTGACTGAAAAAAGTCAAAACCTGACATATGCTCCGAGACAGAGATAATACTGTATTACGTATTTCCTATTATTTTATTAATTATTATTAAAAATTAATTGCAGAGTAGTAATTTTATTACTCTATTTTTAAGAAATACGGAGTAACAATCATTATTATTTAGAAAAATAGTACTCCGCATTAGTCATTGATAGTCGCCATTGGTAGTGGCGGTAAATCGAGAAAACAAGAGGACTTGAGAAAAGAATAAGATGAATAAGTACCTCTGGATTTTTGTAAAGATAATATGAAACACTAAAAATAGTGTTAAATTTAATATTATTATGAATTACGACGTATAATTTATAACCAAGTGAATAAATAATTTTAATTTTATAAATGATACGTAAATATATTACTAAAATTAATTTTCAATTAAAGCTTTAGAGTAGTAAAACTAATAAAAAAAAGTTAGAGTAGTAAAAATACTAATTAAATAAAATAATAATAATAAATAATTATTATAATAATAAAAAATTATAAAATAACAATACCTAATAAAATATGAAGTAATAATAATAACTAGCGGTATTTTTATAAAACAGTACAGAAGTAAAATTACTAATCAATTGCTTAAAATAAATAATAGTATTAATAATAAGTGTTATTTTATAATAAGTGCTATTTTTCTAAATAACCATTAGTGTTTTTATAGAAAAGAGTGGTAAAACTAACAATTAATTTTTATAATAATAGTAATAATAATAAATTTAAAAATTAATAATAATAATAATAGAATAAGAAAATAATAATTATGAAGTAATTATAATAATTAATAACAAATAATAATAATTATAATAGAAGAAGAAGAAAAAAACAAAACAAAAGGTAAAAGAAAAAAAACGGGGGTGGAATGGAGGTCACACTCGAAGGCAGGAGAAAGAAGAAGAAAAGAAGAAAAGAAGAAGAAGAAGAAGAAGAAGAAGAAGAAAAGAAGAAAAGAAGAAGAAGAAGAAGAAACGAAGAAAAGAAGAAAAAGAAGAAGAAGAAGAAGAAAAGAAGAAAAAAAGAAGAAGAAGAAGAAGAGGATAACGGAGAAGGAATATTAACGGAGAGAATTACGGATTGTCACCCCGGAGTCAGTTTTCGAATATCTTAAGGTACCTCGGAGTATATTTTGAAAAACAATGGGACCTGCGAGTTCTTAGTACAAAACAGGGGATACCCAACAGCAATTTTTTGGCTAGCTACTATTATGCAAGTCTGCAGATTGGTTTGGGCTGATGTTGATTTTTGAATTTTAAGTTCTGAATTTGAATAATATCTGAACTGAATTATTGTTTTATTTTGAACAATCTGCAGCTTTTTCTTTATTTCTAAGCTGAATCTTAGGTTAAATTTTTAGAGTTAACTAAAGATAGCATTAACCAATAACGGTAGCTTTGTTACTACAACCTATTACTGTACAACAGAGACCTTATATTATTAACTCTGTGAGGTTTGAATTTCTTGATATTATTTGTCTCGTGTTCATGTTCTTTGTTATTGTTTTTGTTCTGTTGAGGACTGTCTTGGGCTTGGCGTGTGCTACCTTCTGCTATGTTTCTCTTCCATAATACTCCCTCCGTTCTCAAAAACACTTCCTCTTTCATTTTTTTCATTTTCAACAAAACACTTCCACTTTCTATTAAAAAACCACTTTTACCCTTACTTTTTCATACCCTACCTATCACATCATACTTTTTCTCTAATAATCTATCCATCACATCTTACTTTTACCCATCACCTCAAGGGCAACATTGGAAGTCAACTACAATTTAACACTTCCTTATTTTTCTACTTTTTCAAAGTAGGAACTCTTTTAGAGAACGGAGGGAGTAGCTTGTAATGGTGGCTTGAACCATTATAGCAAGAACTTGGGCAAAGTAATGAACAAAGATTTCACCAAGATGTGTGTGTTGAAGGTATTTTTTGGATAGGAATAAGGATTACAGAACTAGTTAATATGTTTTAAATTTTTTCTTCTTGTTGTATGATAATGATTCAATGAGGGGTCATAATCTAAGCATCAGTATGTTCAGCTCTATGTTCACATAGTGTGAAAATCTTAAACAGAATAATTTGTTATAGTGTAAACAATTCAAATAGATGTATTGAAGACTATCCATTGGAAGCATTGAAGACTATCCGAATAGATGTAGGCATACTTTAATCAGATGGTGTTTTGTATTCTATCCTGATTAAAGGTTTGGCTTAACTCATTAGTCTTTTACCTTCACTATATTTTGACAGATTTCCTGGATGATTATTTGCCATAATTTTTTCAAGCATTAGAGAGGAATGAACAATCACACTAGAACCAAGGACTCCAAAAGGTGTGGATATTATTATCAAACTGTATGAAAATGTTTGTTTGTGCGTGAAAGAGGTGTTTGAAGTACAACTAATATCAGTTACCACATTCACGCATTTTTATTGTTTTTTAATATTAGGTTCAATTATACGTTCTATGTGGTTGTCTCCAACAATTGGTTCTTGATTCACAACGATCATTTCAGGAATTATTGGGTTTCTGCCGGCAGGTGGGAGATTCAAGTTCAATCCACAAAGATTCTCAAGGATTGGGTTCCTCACTTGTTCCTCTGTAGGAGCAACAACTTGTATCATAGGAATATGATGGATTGAAGAGGCAGACATGTAAAAAATGTAAATTGTAAGGAAGATGATGTAAATATTAAATTATTACATGTTAATAATATTTTAATGTATGAATTTATATATTGTTCAATATATTGTATTTTTTGAATTTATATTAATTTGGTAATCAACACAAGATTACAGATGTCTAATAAAAAATTCAACTACCATTCAAATTAATAGTTTGAAAAGTGTGTGTACAGCTACACAAACCCGTAGTGTTAATAATATTTAGACAATCAAAACAAACAGTTGTTTGAAATACTACAAAAATAGTAGTTCATATTTTTAAAATACAATGTGAAATAATAGTTGTCTGAAGCAAATTTCTATAGTAATCTTTGGAGTTGCTGTCTGATAAACAATTCAACAACTATCATAAAAGATAGTTTGAATACTTCAACGAAAACTACAAAACACCGTTGTATCAATAATCAATATACAACTAAAAAAACAGCAGTTTGAAATAGAATAATGTTAGTAGTCCATATTCTAGAAATACAATAAAAGATAACAGTTGTCTGATGCTAATTTTATTTAGTAGTTTTCCGAGCAGCAGTTTGATATATCTTTCAATTACTTTTTAAAGTAGATGTCTATATTGTTGAACGACAACACCAAGAATTAGGAGTCTGAAGTTAAAAAACAACAGTAGTATTCATTATAGATAAACAACAAAAAATCACAGTTCTCTTTAACTCTAAAATCAAATGTCTTACTCATACAAGGAAAACACCAAAAAGTGGTACTCTAAATTATTACAAAACAGTTGTCGACAACCATTTTATACAATTGTTTTTAAACAATAGTCTGTAAATATATCAGACAGCTGCTCGGAAGACTACTGAAATCAGCACCGAGAGAATGTGGATTATACTCCTTATAAATAGGAGATCATCCCACCCCTTTTTGACTACTAGAATTTTTCGGCCCTAGCACAATTTTAAGAGAGAAAAATTTGTTTTATTATCTTAATACTTTACACCAAATATTTTATATTTTAGAAATATTTTATAAAAAAATTACTAGCATAATTTTCTCTAGAACACTCTTCGTTGTTCGTGTGTCTCAACTGGAGGTCATATACTTTTGTGGCTAGTTCTTGGATCAATCCATCAACCTACACATATTGTTGCTTGCTCGCCAAGAAAGGTATATTTCTAAATGATAACTTATAATAATCATAAGAGATCTTGGGTGGATCTATGTTTGGAAAATAAAATTTTATATTTCCGCTGCTCTATCCAAGCATAGAACCCAACACCTTGCATGGTCTTTTGGATTTGGACAACTAAGAATGGGATCTATTTTGATCACAAATCCCTAGACTTTATGACTATTGTTTGTAAAATCAAAGTAAGTCATGATTTATTCTATAATGAGTAGGTTGTGGCATTATGCGCATGTGCTGATTTTAGGTTTGGCCTGCGCTCCTTGGTTTGGCTTTTGCCTTGTACATGCTTGTTGTATGCCATGGTCGGGTAGAGTATTAGCCTTCCTTGGTGGAGCTCTGTTTGACTTTAGCGTTTCTTGTATGTCTGTTCTATTTGTACATAACACTTTTTTCTAAACGATTATCTTTTTATGTAGCAAACAAGAAAACTTGTCTTCTCTCTTCTTTTTCTAATCATTTTTTATTTCCCAAACCAAACATAGTGTAACATGGAATAACAAAGAACACTTATTTAGTGATATTAACTTTCATACAATATATCACGGAGTATATGTTAATATTTTTTCTATATCTAATAATGTATAAAGAGCTAATTTTTCAACAATCATTAGAATTCGAACTTGAATTAATATTTTTCTTTGAATACTCAAGAATAAACTTCCTAGTATCCTAAAAAAAATACTCTCAAATGCCTATGGAAGAATAATACAGAGTACTCCCTCCGTCCAAGAATAAACTTCCTACTCTACCTTTTTTTTCGTCTGGAAATAATCTTCTGATTCTACTATTTTATACCAATTCTTCCTAAATTACCCCTTCTTTTCTACTCTTTTCTTTTTCTTCTCTCCTGCCGTTTCTCCTCCCTTCCACTTTTTCTTCTTTTTGCTTTTCTTCTTTCTTCTCCTCTCTCCCTCCGTCATCCTCCTTTCCTCCACTCAATCTTCTTTTCTTTCTTCTTCTTCTTCTTCTTCTTCTTCTTCTTTCTCCTCCTCTCTCTTCCTTTGTCATCTCCTCTTCTTCACTTTTCCCCCTTCATCTTTTCCCTTCTTTATATCCTTCCAGATCCGAGCTTATTTCTTCTTCCAGACTTCCAGATCCGAGCTTGGCAGCGGGCGACAGCGATAGTGGCGACGGCGATTGTGTTAGCGGGGATGATGGTGAGTCTAGATCTCCACTTCTTCTCCTTTTTCTTCTTAATTTCTTTGAGATCTAAGATTTCTTTCTCATTATTCTAAAATTTATTTCTCATCATTCTTTATTTCTTTGAGATCTAATGGTAGGGCTATGGCGGTGATGGTGGGACTGGAGCAATTATGGTGGAGGGGGATGGTGGAGATGGTCGGAGAATGGATCGATGGTGGGGTTGACGGACACGGCAGGGCTGGCAGCGAGGAGGAGAGAGGCTAAGGTGGAGGCGGTGGTGGGAACTTGATGGTGGCAGGGGCAGGGCTGGGAAAGGAAGGAGAGGGGGGTATTTTAGAGAAATTACACCCATAGTCAACATCCACTAAAAATGAGGAAAAATCAAAATAGGAAGTTTATTACCGGACGGAGGGAGTATATTGAATTAGATCAATGCTAGGGGTACACTGTTTGGTGTATCCCATTTGTTCCCCACCCCCCTTTTCCACTACCCATTTTTATCTATTTTTTAAATTTATTTATATTTTTTTTAAATTTTTACCCATTTATGTGATATTGAAGGGAGTAAGAGATAAATAGGGTGCACTTTTGATGTACCCCTGTCATTTTTTCATTGAATTATTGGAAGTTTTCGATTTCAAAGGCATTACCAAACAATGCCTTAAGCTGCTAAAAAACCTCAGCAGCTCAGCGGCTCTGCCCGAAGTTTCATCGTTCTCAGGCGGCCTAAACCCTTCCAACTACTCCACAGGTCTGCGCATTTCCAAGCTTTCCGTGCTGCGCTCTGAGCCCATGACGATTCCCCGTATTGCTCGAAACATGAGCCGCTTCTCTCCACCGACTTTCCAATGCCTCACGCACGGCGACGATCAAATTTCCCGGATCGTGGCCCGTCATTTCCATACCCTGCGATCTTTGTATTCAAGTCCCAGCTCTTCGATAACCTCCTTCCGCACCGCGTCAACACGATCCCTAATCTTCTCAAATTACACGACTTCTGTTCCGGAAACAAAGCTCGATCCATCCAAAGCAGTAATGAGGATAGTCGATGAGATTTCGGGTCTCTCGCTACTCGAAGTCTCCGATTTGATAGAAATTCTGAGTAAGAAAATGGGTATTGATGAGATGCCTGTAATGGCGATGATGATGCCTGGAATGGGTTTTAGTCCTGGAGGTATGAGGGGGAAGGCACCGGGAGCTAGTGGGCAGGCAGAGGAAAAGGTGGAGAAGACGGTGTTCGATTTGAAGCTGGAGGCAGGGTTTGATGCTGGGGCGAAGATCAAGATTATTAAGGAGGTTAGGTCTTTCACTAATCTTGGACTGAAAGAAGCCAAAGAGTTGGTGGAGAAGGCTCCGGCAGTTTTGAGGAAGGGCGTTAGTAAAGAGGAGGCTGAGAAGATCATTGAAACGATGAAGGGGATCGGTGCAAAAATCGTCATGGAGTGAGCTAGGTAAATTCCCTGCTAAGGTTGTCATCATCTCTGTTTACTGACATGTTTTGGCTAAAGAATTAGTTTTTCATGATGATAGTTTCTCCTCCCTTCATTTACTTTCCTTCAATACTCTATATGAATTGGTGAAGATGTAAAATTAGCACCTGATGGAATAGCATATCATTTTTTTCTCTAACCTTTTCTTTTAAAAGATTTGATGTTTTGCTAACTCCTTTCATCCCAGAGCTTCATCAAGTAGCATTGTTCTGCTCTAGGTAATGTTGTGCAATAGACGGGTAGATGAGATATGCTTGGTTTCCCGTTGCTAAATAACTCCCCCAACCCCGGTGTTCTATTGCATCTATAATTGTTAAAGTAGGAGCATGTTGTGAGCTCAGTGAATTTGGTCATTGAATAGTTTTGTTGGATAAGTATAATATTTTGCGCTGAGGACTTGCTATAAACTGGATAATGCTTTAAGATGAATCATAAGATGTTTTGGTTAGTCCAATAAATGTATGATCATCACATACTTTTCTTTTCCACACGAATAGAACAGTTTGCATAAAAATCTATGAAGGATTGCTTCATGTGTAACACTGACAAGGCTTAATTGAAAGGTGTTGTAGGATGGGTCAGTCATTGTTATGATCTTTCTCTAATAAATCATTTAGCTATGAAGCCTTTAACTTTCTTCACTCTGAATACATTTTCTCAATTTCCTTTCAGGAATGTGTTTGAGGAATGTAAAATTGGAATTCATGTCACAAGTGTAGTGAACTTGAGTATGGTATGCCGAACTTTTTTTATTAAAGATTCAAGATTGCTTAGTTCTATCGCCCCAAAGCTTCATGAATGGGTATTGCTGCCTTAATCATGTAATTTGGTGTAATGGGTAGATGGATGATAGTATGATACACACGTTTTGTTTTCCATTCCTCAACTACTCCCCTCCCCCTAGTCTGGTGCTCTATTGCATTTACGAAAAGTATGATGGGTGATGTGAGCATAGTGAATTTGATCATCAAATAGTTTTGTTTGACAAGTAGATAGATTTTTCTCTGGAGCTACAACTCAGAATGCTAAATCAAATAATAAGACATTATTTTGGTTAGTCGAGCAAATATTTCATGATGGATACGCGGGGAGTATCAATCCCCCCTCTCGATCTGGGTAAATTTCAGTAATGGTACCTCAATTTTCACTGGAATTTCGATATGGTATCTAAACTTCAAATCCTTTCATAAAAATCTCCAAACTTACATAATCCTTTCACTAATAGTTCATTTACCCGTTTCCAGATAAAATTCAGGTCATTTGGGCTAAAATTAGAATTTTATATATTTTAAAATTTTCAATTTGACCCCATTTCTTTTTTACTTCTTCTTCCCCCTCCCATCCCTTCTTTTTCTTCTTATTTCACCCCTTTCTTCTTATTCTTCCTCAAATACCTGAGTACTCTCTCCCCTTTCTTCTTCTTCTTCGGCCCCCACAGTACTCTCTCTCTCTCCCTCTCCCTACTTCTCTCTCTCATTATGCGTTTCTACATTAAGGGGATAATAAAGGGGATAGTAAAAAAAATTAAAGAAGGAGATTAATTAATGATAGAGAATGGGGAATTAGATGAAGATAGAACTGACAAAAGATCCAAAGCCAAGTACGTTCTTGTCTGTGTGTTTGTGTTTCAAAGGAATTCACATCAACAAAAATTAATTAGTTAATTAATGGTTCAGACCAGTAATTGGTTCTCTTTTTTTTGGCTTAATTTTATACAATGATTATGAAAGGTTCCATTTCTATGGAACAGTCGTCTCGCACCGTGTCTCCGCCGCAAAAGGTCTCTTATGCAACTTTGGCGGCGGCGGCCTTGCTCTGCTTATCAAATGGAGGAATGGGCGGCGAAGATTGGGTGGTTGTGGTGGCAGTGAGCTGATTGGCTCTTTCGGCTTGGAGGATCCAGTCGCGGTTAAAGAGAGAGTACTGTGGGTGCCGGAGAAGAAGAAGAAAGAGGAGAGAGAGTACTCAGGTATTTGTTTGAGGAAGAAGAAGAAGAAGAAAGGGGTGAAAGAAGAAGAAAAAGAAGGGAAGGGAGGGGAAGAAGAAGTAAAAAAGAAATGGGTCAAATTGAAAATTTCAAAATATAAAAAATTCTAATTTTAGCCCAAATAACCAGAAGTTTATCTGGAAACACGGGTAAATGGACTATTAGTGAAATTAGTGAAAGGATTATGTAAGTTCGGGGATTTTTATAAAAAGATTTGAAGTTTAGGTACCACTTCGAAATTCTAGTGAAAGTTGGGGTATCATTACTGAAATTTACTCTTCCTCATCCTTGCTTCCCCATTGTTTTGTCGACTGTTAGGAATGTAAAGTAATTTGTATAAAAATCTGTGATATGTTGCTTTGAGGTGACACTGGATGGATCATGATATCAGCGTTGGCCATAGTAGTCAAGATTGCGAGTAGGATCGTACGATTTCATGCACAGATTGTCTTAGGCTTTGAAATTTGAATTGCTAAAAAGATCAGGAGTCTTTGCGAATCGTCTTGGTCGACAACTTAATCGTAAGATCACCATATTGGTTGGGATCGGCGATCGAGAAAAGGGAAATTTTTCACATGCAGAATTTCCAATTGCTAGGTTACGCCTCTTCTGTTTTTACGGTGATGACTTTCCTATATTGATTTCCATCATCTTTGATGAAGCTAAGGGGTGTATTCAATTTAGATTTTAAATGATTTTGATAGATTATTTAGAATCCATAGATTATGTAAGTTCATTGGATTGTTTTGAGTTTACGCAGAGTTAATTAGATTCTAATGTATTCTGTCAAAAAATTTTATAGGATTACATTTTTCTTTTTTTTTCTTCTTTTCTTTTTTCATTTCTTTTTATTTTCTTTTTTCTCCTCCTTCCCCCATGAAACCCTAGCCGCCGCCCGTTTTCTATTTTTTCTTTCCTTTTTTCTTTTTCTATTCTTTTCTTTTTTCTCCTCCGTCTTCCTCTCGGCTTTCTTATGACAAACAAGATGACTTCCTCGGCGATAGGACGACCTCCTCGGCGGCGACGACGACGACCTCCTCGGCGTCGATGACGACCTCCTCGGCGATAGGACTGCAGCGGCCAACAGCACCCGGCAGTAGAGCGACGTGCAGAGCCGAGGAAGGCCTTCCGTCGGGGTTCCGAGCTCCGGCGACTTGGCAGAAGAGAGGAACGCAAGAGAAGATGAAGAACGAGATGAGAAGGCAAAATCCCAGGGTTTTTTATTGGATTTGGAAATTGGATTTGTATTTATACCCAAGGTAAGAAAATCCATCAAAATCCACAATTTTAAAAATCTTTAAACATCAATCAATTTTTGAATACCATCATATTTAGAAAAATTTTTTAAAGTTTGAATTGAATACACTCAGATTTTAAATGACTTTTTAAATTCTGAATTTAATACCTACGGATTTTTAAAATCCAAAAAAATCTATGAGAATCCGGATTGAATACACCCCATTAAATATTCATTGTTTTTTTGCTTTGGGGTGTAATGGAATGAAGCAAATAGATCTCTAAACTGTTTGTGTTTTATTAATTAATGAGTAGCAGCTAGTCAATTAATGTAACTTTCGACACTGAGTTGAGAGTCTCTTTGGAAACCGCATCTCTCTACTTTCGAGTAGAGGTAAGGTAGACATCAGACCCTACTTTTTGGGATTAAACTTGGTTGTTGTTGTTGACTTCCCCATCTTGGGGGATATGGCATATAAGTCAGCAGAAACCCTAATATCTAGACCTACGCACAAAATGTATCAGGTGTGTATGTCATTTTTCATTTACTCCGTACATTCTTTATACTCACCTAAGAATCGAGTAAGAGATTTGGTTTCTTTTTTTTATGCAACTACTCCCTCCGTCCCTGAGTGTTTGTCCACTTTCATTTTTGCACACCATCCAATGCACTTCTTTAAACCATTTTATCTTGTAATTTATATATTAAAAAATAATAAAAATTATATATTAATAATCTATAGGTTAAGACGAATCAAACAAGATCACACATGACTATTTTTAGGCTTACACATTCTGAGAATTTGATGAGTCAAAGTGTTTAGATGAACAGTTCTAAAAGTTAAAAGTAGACAAACACTCAGGGACGGACCAAGTAATAATTATCTGCAAAGAGATAGGGGCCTTTCTTGCCGTTATTATGTTCTCTTTTACATTTCGATGTTCAAAATGAATATTAAAAAAATAATCCGTATCTTATTAAAATATCTGGGGAAATAAAATTCATATTCCATATTATTCACAAGTAGCAATAAAAATGTATTTTAAAAGTAAAATTAGATAGACATTGTTAATGTATTTTAATAATAAGTTTTTCGACGTCTAATAATTAAGGATTACTTTCTTAGTTTTCTATTTAACTTGTTTATAGAGTAATTTTTTTCATTTTTAAGAAAAAAATTGTGCTTCATATCATTTTGTTTTTCTCTACATAAATTATAATCGCACAAAAGTTCTTTCTTCTTATATTTTTTTAAGAAAATTAAATTTATTTTTTGAAAGAATCGTCTCAAGTAAACAAGTAAAAAGTATGAAATTTAAATAATAATAATAGTAATAAAAATAGTAATAATAATAATAATAATAATAATAATAATAATAATAATAATAATAATAATAATAATAATAATAATAATTCTTGATTGGATCTTATCTGACCTAATCTGATCTGATTGGGTCTGATCTGATTCGATCAGATCTGATTTGTACTGATCTGATTTCAATAAAAATAAGAAAAAAGCAAAAAAAAAAGTTGAACGGAACTGTGGCTAAATTTAGGGAGGTTGGAGAAAAAATAGAAGTATTGTACGTTTATGGCTACCAGTGATGCATAAAACAAACAATAAAAGGAATTATCCTAAGAGCTTGTTTTTTAGGGTTTGAAAAAAAAGAGTTGCATGTTAAAAAAATTGGAAGAAACTGATAGTTTTTTTAGAAGTAGCCGGAAAAAACAAGAAAACTGAAAAGAACTAGAAGAAATTGTAAAAACTGGAAAAAAGGAACAAACTAGAAAAATATGAAAGAAATTGGAAGAAACTTCAAAAAGTTATTTAAATGTATTTTATATTAAGAAATAACCCTAAATAGGAGTAAAACATAGAGAATATACTACAATAGAAGTTCCATGTTTTTATTATCCAAATAGGAGTTCGCAATTTGGTAATGTGACATTGTACATGTGCATTTTACTATACTTTTTGGTAATGTACAGGATCATGATTGGTAATGTAAATGAATTTTAAATCCTGTTTTCAGAATGAAAATATGAAACTCCTATTTTGGTATATTTTCAATGTTTTACTCATACTTTAGTCCTTTTCTCTTTTTTATTCCATTCTTATTATAATTGTTATTATTGTTGTTGTTGTTATTGTTATTGTTATTATTAACATTATTATTATTAATACTATTATATTATTATTATAACTATCATATATAATAGGTAAAGAAAGTGAATAAAATTTGATTACGTGAATAGTGTACATGTGATTTAATTAGGGACAGAGGAAGTTGTGTTACTCCCTCCGTCCCAATTTATATTGCCTGTTTCGATTGACAATATTTGACTAGAATTATTTTCAAATCATTTTATATGACAAACGGTATAGAGTTAAAAATTAAAAATTACATATTTTTTTAAAATAAAATTAACATATTAAAATACTACATCATAAGATTACAAAACTAGTAGTGACAATAGTACTTTATTTTATAAAATTGCTAAGAAAATAGAAAAAGAAAGTAATTGAAGGTTTACCCTGTGAATAGTGAATAGCCACTATAAATTGGGACGGGGAAGTATTATTTTTTGATTTAAAGTATTGATGTTTTTCGCAGATCAAATTTAGATTAATAAAATATTTATAATAAAATTTTTAGAACATCATTAGTGTCATGTAAATTAAAAATCAAGTTTTCCCAATAAAATTGTACTCTATATTGGTAATATTAAAAATGAAAGAAAATAATAATGAGTGTTAATCAAGGTGACATGGAAAAATTAAAAATTGAAAAATAAACTATAGTTATGAACATATTAATAATAATAACA